TTCAAACCCTAATAATGGAAAAGAAAAACATATGATGCTGTTTTAAATTCCAGACTACAGTGACCTCCAGTGGTGTGAAGGAATTATTTAAATTGTTGGCCTGGAGGGAAATGATTCACTTGTGTGGGTTTGAAGTAACAATTGTGTAGTCCCACTCCAGCATGAATATTCGCTATAAATAATCATATAGCTGTAGGGTTCGTATATTTGTGTAATTATAGAAAAGGAGCATCCTTTTAGCAACATTTTTCTGGTATAGAGTTAGGAATAATAGAGAGTTTGGGCTTTTGTTGGCTTTCATTATTTTATGCCTGTATTTTACCTCCCAACTCTCAGCTTTGCATTTTAAACCCAAATTAAAAGGCAATTTTCTGAATAATGTTCATTACACTTTAGTCAAGTCTGCACATGATGTCATTTTCTGTTCCTTCTGAGATTTCTGCTACTCCCATCTCAATTACTTTTTTCCATGATTATTCATCAGGTACTCCTGTAATCCTACTATAGTTTAAAACATATATTCTGTAGAAATACACACACACACACACTTATCTTTGCTGGCTTCCAGTTAATAGCTGCGTTTGTCTGTAGAATTTATAGTTTTATTATAAGTATTGTTCAAACTTTTATGGGGGTTGAAGTATAGTTAAAAACATTAGAGAAACTAAATGCCTTGTATCTCTCAAATTGGATTCCCTTTTGTTTGACACATCAATCACACAAAAGTGCCTTAAAACCAGCCACTTTATTCACAGGAGCATAAACTGAAGCACAAATTGTCAAACTGTTTTGGGGGCAGTGGTGGGTTGCTCCTGGTTTGCCCGGTTCGCATGAACCGGTAGTAGTGGTGGTGGGAGGCTCCGCCCAGACATCATCAAAAACGATCTGTGCATGCGCAGAAGCTGTGTGCGCTCGTGTGCTACCAATAGCTAACCGGTAGCGCCGGGTTTTGAAACCCACTACTTGGGGGGTATTAGTAACAATGTAATAATGTGACTTGGGGCATAATCCAGCTAATGTTAAACATCAGCCACACTCAGGGCAAAACATAATAGCTTCCATACTTTGAACAGGAAAGATTTCATTGGAATAAATGAAACTTCAAAGTGCTTAACTGTGACCAAATAGTGTTCTTTGTGTATGTTTAAAAAGCAAAAGAAGGAAGAAGAGGAGGAGTAGAAGGACAAGGAAGAGAGGGAGAGGGAGGAGGAGGAGGAGGAGGAGGAGGCCCTCAAAAGCTTTGCTGCTGCTCTAAGGACTTCTCCAAAAGTTGCCCTCAAATTGCAATAGAAGGGAGAATTATTAACTATAAATGGTTGCATTGATGGTATTTAACTTGTTCAAGTTTATTTAAATATGAATTAAAAACTATTTTTGCTTTTATCCTGGCCCCATCAACTCGCTTGGAATGCAGACCTCATGCTAGCCCAGAAAAAGTTGTGCACGCTTGATTTACATGCATGTTCCACCTACAAGGATATCATTCTGGTTCTTCCAGATTTCTGCTATATTGACCAACAGATTTGGGAGCCCCAATGGATTTGGCAGAGTCTAGTTCAGTGGTGGGATTCAGCCAGTTCGCACCACTTTGGGAGAACCGGTTGTTAACTTTCTGAGCAGTTTGGCAAACTGGAAGGAATCAGGGCAGAGAACCGGTTGTTAAATTACTTGAATCCCACCACTGGTCTAGTTCCCAGTTTAACACAGATCTCCAAAGCAATGCTTGAGCCTTATTCTTATACTTTTCTGTTTCTCTGCAACTTTTCCTTCCTCTCTTTGAATGCAAGTCTTAATAAATTACTGTCTGGTTTAATCAATTAGTCCTTTGCCTGCAGAGGGGTGATCCTAGTCTAATTTGTTGACAAATTATGACTTGATAAAATTAGGAAGTAATTAATTAAGCTATGTACATAAGCTATATAAACAAGCTGGTTTTTTTTAAAAAAAACTACAACATTTTAAGTCAGTAGCAGCAGCAGTAATCTAACTTTCTGTAGCACAAATGGCTTTTCATCCTTTCCCTTTCTCTCAACCCTTCTGTAGCAGCTGAGAAAAGGGAAATGTCAGAATTTATTTCAGGCACATGTCTTATAGTTTGGGCAGAAGAGAAAACTTGAGAAATAAATTAAATGAAAATGAATGAATAGTTTTCTATGCCCATATGATATCAACATATGTGTTTGGAATCTTCAAAGGGTATAGATACATAATATACAATACCACTCAGATGGGTGGGCTTTGCTTGGACACCATGCTAACCCAGGAAATCTACGGATAAGCAACATGGCATCCATGGACACCCAATTGTCCTCCAGCTAGCTCAGATTTTCTATCCTACCTGATTTTTAAAAAAATATACTAATAACAAAACAACAAATTAAATAAACTTCAATGCCGCAAAGCAGAGCACTAGCTTCTAGCATCATATTTAGTTGTGTGTAAGAATATGTTTGAGCCCAACAAAAAATCCACCAGAGTCGATTTAGAAAACATCAGTGGAGGGATTATCTCACTCTCTAGTAAATGGACATTTTGTGACTGAACATATTGACAGTGGTAGCCATTTAGAGAATACTGTAGGCAAGTCCTCCAGAGGCAGCCATTGTGTGAGCTCTAAATATTGCACAGCGCCTCAACTCAAAAGGCTGCCTACTTCTTCAGTGAGCTACACCCCAAACAGAGTATACATCAAGAAGAGTTAAATGGAGAAGCTTGATTTTTTTAACCCTATGTTCCAGTAAAATGGGCCTCTTTTATCTTGCTCCAAAAGATATTTTTCCAACCATAGTAATGGTATTAATTCTGTCTAGATTTTTAGCCTTATAGTTATATTTGAGAAATTGTTTTAAAAATGTTCACTTGTACGAAACAATAGTTGCAGCAAGAACAATCAGAAGGCATTTTATTAGGTAAAAGGAAATGCATCACTTTTCCTTTTGCAAGTATCCTTAGAGAATCACTGGATTGCAAGTCCAAAATCCTGAAAGTCAGGTAACATAAACAACCATCTTTGACATGCCTTTTTAGATGTATAGGAATTACAGCTTCAAGCTTCCCAAACAACAGAAGGGCAGGATCTTTCTGATTACGAAAACATTTTTTAAATTACATCTCTTGATGTATGGGTTATAGCAGAGGTCTTCAGACTTGGCAGCTTTAAGATTTGTGGACTTCAACTACCAGAATTCTCCAGGCAGCTTGGCTGGCTGGAGAATTCCGGGAGTTGAAGTCCACAAGTCTTAAAGCTGCCAATTTTGAAGACCTCTGGGTTATAGTATAGATATTTTAAGTTCTTCCCCCGGTCAATTGGTAACAAAAAAAAAAGATTATATGAAGCCTAGGAAGTTAGAAATTACAGTATTAACAAGATCAGAATGAGTGTAGTTTGCATGACTTTTCCAAAATAATCCTATTTCTGGTTTGCAACCTAAAACAATGCTATCACAAGGCCTGCTGCTATGCTGCATTCTAACATGGGATGAGACATGGACTAACTCATCTTTGGATCAGTTATAGTCATGTTTGGTCTATATTGTGCAAGCAACACTCCTTTTTTTAGTCCTTTGTCCAATGAATAATTGACTTCTAATTCTAAATTACTTCATTTCATCTGAACTGCTTTATCTTGGATTTGAGCTAATGCATTTTGGCACTCCTTAGCTAGATCAGACCTTGTTACTAAATTCCTTCCTAAATTCCATTGAATGTGTACCAAAAATTAAATTAAGTAATGATTTTTCATTACATCATTGATTTTGCTATGGCACAAGTGACTATTTTAGAGTCCCATAAAACAGGTTGGAAATACAGTGCTATATATTTCTTTAGTTTTAATTTTTCTTTAGTTTTAAGTAAAGTGTAAGCATACATATTCCAAACCTGGCACTTATATAGAGCAACCTACCACATTTTGAGAAAATAAGGCAGAGAACATATTTTAGGGAGATATGGGCACTATAATTTTCTTCTGCTGAGTTGGATCATTGATTTGTATCCCATTATTGACTATCCTGTTTGGAGCTTCCCTGCATTTCTGCATTTCTATAATCTCTATCCACTATGAGCCATGCCATTCTCCAATATGAGCTGCAGTAAAGCCTTTTCATATGCTGAAAGTAGAATGGGTCCACCTGCTTATCAATGATTTTTTACTTTAAAAAAAAAACAAGGATGTGATTAGTTATTTTTCTTGATATTTTAAACTACAGTTTATATGGTACCTTGTATTTGTCTATGTCGGCTAGAGCTAATGGAAGCTGAAGTCCAAAATGTGTGGAGGGCACCAAGTTGTCTACTTCTAGTCTCATGGGGTATGATAGACTTAGGAAAACTCTTTGATATAGTGGGATGAGACTACATGTTCTAGTCCAGGGGTGTCAAACTTGCATCATCACGGCATCATCACGTGACGTATCGGGACTTTTCCCCCCTTTGCTAAACCAGGTGTGGGCGTGGCCAGGACGTGATGCATCCAGTCTGTGGGCCGCAAGTTTGACGGCCCTGTTCTAGTCGGTGATGAAGAGTTGTTCTTAACAATTCATTTAGTTGCTCTTCCTACTAACTTTCTACCGCTTATACTCCAATTGAATAGGCACAGGGTAATTTTATAAGAGGTATTGCATACACTTCTAAATGTAGATCAAGTGATCATTTTAACCTTCATTTAAAACATTATAGTTGGACTGCTGAATCTTTGGATTGACTATCTTCTCCTCCTGTATGTGAGAGGAGAATGAGGACTCATTTGTTTCTCATTAGATAATAATTTGGGAGACTCTGGCTCTTTCTAACTAGTTAATAAAAAAGGGGGAGGTATTAAACTAACGTTTCAACCATTGGAGAAGGCTACCTTAAATTTTAAGGGAATAGCAGTAGTAATATTCAGTAGTAATTTAAAGTAACACAGCAGGAAAAAGAATAAATACCAAGACTGTCCATTTTTTTTCTTTGCAAACTGTCTTGCACATTGAACTGTTGCTTATCTTGTCTTACAACATCAGGGGCAGGAACTTCAGAAGATAGCAGATCAGATTCTGTACATTGGAGTCCCACTCAAAGAAGAGGAACTTCAATCATCTGTGAGTTGTTACCTCTAACATCTCACTATTCAGTTGAGTCAAATTTTGAGCTGAATCAGATTATTTACCAAGTAACTTCCAGATCTGTTAGGTTATAAATTGCAAGCCATCATAATCTATATAAAAGCGAATTTATTTTAGATATGCTTCTGAAACTCAGCTGCTACCAGTTCTTTTGGTTGGAAAGTCCCTGGATCAAAGTCATGCAAAATTGCATTTATATCTGATCTACAACCATTGTGTATCTGAACAAAATTAATCAAAATACAAGATAATAGCAATTCTAGAGGATTTTTTTTTACCAGAAGTCTTGCTATGGTTCTCTGAGATACTTGGCCTGCCTCAGTAAAAACAGATTGACATCAAAGGGTGTTACACGCCACACATTTAGACTGAAACAGGATCCCAGAGGCAGATCTCAGTAATTGGGAAAAACTTCACATTGTGCTAGCTCACAGATTTCCTAGGAGCATTAAGGATTTTTTAGTACATTAGTAGCTCAAGATTAGCTGAATGTTGGCCATTTTGAAACCCAAAGCATCAAGTATGTTTCCTGATCCCTCTTCATCCTATATTTTTCATTATGACACAAGGCAGCTCTGAGATCATCACCTGCAGGTTGAATCCTTTGAGTTTATTCCCATAGATGTCTCTCTTCAACTGGGCTGGATGATGCAAGTCCGTCTATGATTCCCCCCCTCCCTGCAAACCCAAAAGCTGGGATTGAAGCTGCTGTGAGACGTTTATTCAGATAAATGTAACACAGCAGGAAGCAGCAGCATAGCATTAGTGTGGCTTTGCTTTGATGCGGCAAACACAGCTGGTAGCCAAAATGTGCATATGTGCATAAGAGAGATATCTTTGCACGTCATGGCTTCCACAACAACTGTGATTAATGCAATAGCTGAAGATAAGGGGGGAAAAGTGCTGCATTTCCAAAAACAAAAAATGCAAAATACGAAATCCCAGTATTTTGATGTACAAAAGGGAATTTCCCAACAACAACAACAACAAAATTGGTTGCTCTTATATCCAATTTGCCTAAAGCATCTGTAGAAAAATCTGCTGATAATGATACTTTTGAAAGGAGGTATGTTGATAGAATTAGCTGTTACCTCACCTCAATAATTAATTTTCAATATACCTAATGCAGATAGGGTGCTGATGCTTCCCATCCATGCTGTTTTAATTTGCGTTATTATCCTGCAATTTCATTAAGGGAAAGAGATATAATGTGATTTATTTTGTTACAATCAATCAATATATAGACTTCTGAGAATTAATGGTCATGAAAGGATTGTGTGCTGGACCTTGGACGCTGATGTAGGTGACAGTGTTATGATTCAGCCTTGTCAGCTCTTCCATAATTTCAGACAGCTTTCATCAGCACACTATATCCTCAAAAGGGCTCACTCCAGCAAGATCTATTATCAAGACCTCTCCAAGACATTGTGGAGAGGTGTCTTGGTGAAATTCACTGAGCCCCAAGCTTTTGAAAATATGCTATTGTAGTGAAGCAATCAGTGTGTTGGACAAGACCCACTGGGAGACCCTGGATTAAATCCCACCTCCTGGCTTTGGACTTCTCTCTTTCTCTCAGCCCAAAATACTCATAGGGTTATTATTGTAAGGATAAAAGACTTCTATGTAAATCATCTTAAACTCCAGGAAGAATGGTGGGACATAATAGATCTAATTTAATATCTCAGACATTCTCCCTCCCAACTATCAGTTCATTAGTCCCCAAAGAATTCAAAATTATATATCCATCGCTGAATCCTTTATGACTTCAAATATTTCACTAGCCTTTTCCAACCTGGTGTTCTCTGAATGTATTGATCTCCAATCAGTATGCCCATAGGGAATGAGTTGAAGTCCAACACATTCAAAGGCACTAGGTTAATGAAGTTTCTGCATACATTTAAGCCATTTCATACAATCATAGATAGTATTAAACATTTGCTTTAAAACAAAGGGATTCACAATACTTATATCAGAAAACAGTACGGTGGTGTGGTGTAATACATATAGAAACTTGGATATATGAGAATTGATTTGAAGTTGTGCATTCTGCTTTCTTATTTCTGTTCTTCAATTTTATACCTGGAATATTAATATTTGTTAATCTCTTCCATTTTCTCTCTCTCTCTCTCTCTCTCTTTATTCCCTTCAGCACCCAAAGAAAATGAAGAAAGAGTATTTAGGGAACGGATGCGCCCCAGGAAACGCCAGGGGGCAGTGCGACGCAGGGTCCATCAGGTTAATGGGCACAAGTTTATGGCCACCTATCTTAGACAACCAACCTATTGTTCACACTGCCGAGACTTTATATGGTAAATTTTATTACATGGAGACTTTTCTCATATCATCTGGTTTAGGTTTTTTTCATGGTAACATGATTACTATTGTTGTTTTGGCTATTGGAAACCCTTTGCATTAATACTTTCAGGAAAATAATAATTAATGGAATAATGGTGTCATTATTTTATACATTGAGAAATTCAAAGGCTTTCTGTAACTTTGTGGTTATGTACCTTTTTACCTAATTATACATTATGCAAGCATATATAGTGGATATCAAATTCTTAGTTAAAAAAAAAAGATTAAGACTGTAATCAGGTGAACACATTACTGGGGTATTCAGATTCACTGAATATAGTGGGACTTGCTTCCAAGTAGACATGTACAGGGTTGCATTGTAAGGCAATTAGTATAGATTTTCCTTGATTTGGATTTTCTTGTTTCCAAATAGTGAAAAAGAATTGAATATATCAAAAATATTCAGCCACGGTGAACTTCCTAGCCACTACTATGGCATGGTTACACAAACTGTAGCTCAGTGAACTCCTTCAGATTATCTCATCCCATCTGATTCTATTGCTAAGCAACTGTCCCTCAGTGTAAGGTAGAAACGCTTTGTCTGAACTTGATCCATATATCTTTACAGAGAAGCGAACATCCGTGGGATCTAATTTGTTGTTAGAACTGGAATTGAAGCACAGCAGAAGGTCATGTTTAGATTAATGTAAGATTAATTTGGACTATGGGACCTCTTTGTGTTACATCTGTACTTCTAATAGGTATGTGGCGAAGAGAGTTCAGCAATAGCTTTTCTGGTTTCTGCAGTGATGAAACAAAGAAGGTAGCCCTTGCCAAACGTTTGGAAGTTTCACAGCTAATGAAGATGTTAGGGATAAAATTGGCAAAGCCTTATCAATACTAGGAAACATTTGAGTTAGCAAAGAAAATGAAAAGAAAATTGCTTGGTGGCGTTTCATAAAATGTAAGATGGAAAGAAGGCAAAGTGAGTTTTATCACACTATTTATTTATTTATTTGCATCTGTGGAATTTGAAGGAGAATGTTCGTGCATAAATAAGAATGTACCCAGCATGGTCTTCCATACTGTATAAGTCATTTTTAGCCATTCACTATATGATAAATGACAATATACATGTGACAATGTGAAATTATATCTTTGGTCTATCCCTAATGTGTTCTTTACTATTCTTTTTTTAAAACAACAACCACAGGGGAGTAATAGGAAAGCAAGGGTACCAATGTCAAGGTAAGAAAAATTGTACGTTTTATGAATATGTATGGAATGTATAAGGAACCCTGATTATTACGTGTCAGGATTCTCTGACCAGAATCCTGACCAGATGAGCTAATTCTATTTTATTGTAAGGCTACCTTAACAGAATCTTGAAAATCTGATATCTTCCCCCCAGTCTCCCAAAATTAGGGGGCTGGAGGCTAAAACATATAAAGAATGGTTGCAGGAATTGGCTTTGTCTAGTCTAGTGAAAAGAAAGACTAGAGGTGACATGATAGCAGTGTTCCAATATCTGAGGGACTGCCACAAAGAAGAGGAGGTCAACCTATTTTCCAAAGCACCAGATGGCAAAACAAGAAACAATCGATGGAAATTAAACAAGGAGAGAAGCAAACTAGAACTAAGGAGAAGTTTCCTTAGACAATGAGAACAGTTGAACAGCTTGCCTTCAGAAGTTGTGGATGCTCCATCATTGGAAGTTTTTAAGAAGAGACGCTACAGCCACTTCTATGGAATGATATAGGGCACGGGTGTCAAACTCGCGCCATCATGTTGCTGTCACGTGATGTATCACAATGCTTTTCCCCTTTGTGGAGCTGGGGTGGGCGTGGCCTGCACATGACACATCCAGCCTGCGGGCCACCAGTTTGACGCCCTTCAAATAGGGCCGTAATGGTGAACCTATGGCATGCGTGCCAGAGATGGCACACAGAGCCCTCTCTGTGGGCATACGCACCGTCGCCACCTGCTCTTCTGGTTTCCAGCTGGTCTCCGAGTTTCCGGGGCTCCGGCGCACATGCGTGCATTCCGGTTTGGGCACTCGGTGCCAAAAAGTTTCACCATCACTGGAATAGGATCTCCTTCTTGTGCAGGGGGTTGGACTAGACCTCCAAGGTCCCTTCCAACTCTCTATTCTGTTAAGATCAATTCCACATCCTATCACATTAGAGGCTTAGGGGAAATGACTTCCTTGCAGTTTTTTTTATAAATTCCCAGTAATTTTAGAAGTCCCTACATGAATAATAAAAAAGTATATATAGTCAGTTTGATCTTTCAGTCCTTTTCAGCAAGGGGAAAAGTTGTTCTGAATATGCAACACCTGAGATGTCCCTCTACAGAGAATAATGAAGGATATTTTGGTGTCTTCCTCTGGGAGAGCCTCCATAAATTTTGGATAAAAGATAAGCCTTGCTGAATCCATTCCTCTTAATCCAGCAAGATTGTTTGCCTGTTTCCTTCATCGTTTTTATAATGCAGACCTCATCTGGACAGCATACAACAGAATAAAAATAGAAAATAAACACAAAAAGACATACAATTAATAAAAATCCCCAGATGGCCCCCATAAACACTGAGTCCTGGTTAAAGTACAGTGCAGTAGTGTTGATTTAACAGCTGCCCTCAATGGCTCATCAAATGTCTTTCAGAAGCTTACAGTCTGGAATTGAATATAACTGGCATTGCTATTACATTTCCCCCACCCATTCCCAACTTACTATGTGAGTAGAAAACATATAGAAGGTGTTAGTATAGACAGGATAAACTGATAACACAAAAATAGTTGTCATTGGATTCTTAATTTAAAAGTTATAAGTAAACTAATAGGAAAATTCTAGTTCTATTGCTTATGTTGTTAAAATACCTAGGCCTGAGGTGCTCCCTGAGCTTGATTGTTTTCTTATAGACGTTTCATTACCCAAACTAGGGAACATCACCAGGGCATACCTAGAGCTATTAGCTGCCTTTGGACACATTATTTGATATTAATATACCTTTTAGGATTAAGATTAGTTATCTATTTTAGGATTTAAGATATTGAAATATTTCCTTGAGTAGACTCTTTGGCAAAAAGTTTGTTCATTTCCACTAAGACTCAGATTTTTATCATCGTTAATTCATAATATTTCTAAAATACTATAATTTGAGCTTCGTCATTTGTGTCTTGGATGAGATCTCTGGGTTAATTTTTAGTTCAACAATCCATTTCTTTGTCTTCACGGCTGGCTATGATATTCTCAGATATCTTCTCCAACACCAGATTTCAAAACTGTCAGTATTTTTTTTTTCATTTTTTTCAAAGTCCAACTTTCACTTTCATAGGGTGTCACTGGCAGGATTTCTTCAAAGCAAACATAGCTGTCAAACAACTGAAATGACACCTCTAGATGGACATCATCAGATACATAGAAATCAAATTGATTATATCATTGTCAACAATGATAGATGCTTCAGTGATAGCATCAAGGACATGACTAGGTGCTGACTGTGGAACAAGCTCCAAATTAAACAAAGAAGAAGAAGAAGAAGAAGGAGAAGAAGAAGAAGAAGAGAAGAAGAAGAAGAAGAAGAAGAAGAAGAAGAAGAAGAAGAAGAAGAAGAAGAAGAAGAAGAAGAAGAAGAAGAAGAAGAAAGAAGAGCAATTAGCCTGCACAATATGATCTTCGGTATATAAATACCGTTTTCAAGAAGAATATTGGGAATCACTTTGAAGTACTAAAACTTATTGATAGAGAACCAGAGGTACTCTGGAATGAACTTAAAGAAATTATTAAGGATGAATATGATAACGAGACTGCCTAAAATGAACAAACAGAAGAAAGAAAACTAGACATCAACACAAATCATGGAAATTATCAAGAAGACAAGAGAAGCCAAAGCCAAGAAAGACAAAAATCTCAGGAAGGAATTTAACAAGTTTCAGAGGGCTGTTAGAAAAAACACAGAAGCAGTAGTACAACAACATGGGATTGAAGATGGGAATAGACATAAGGATAGTCTTCCAAAAGATCTTTAAATTCAGAAAGGGTTCCCACTTCAAATTGGTATACTAAAGGATGACAATGCATTAGCCAATTCAAAGTAGTAACCAATTCAAAGAAAATAAAAGAAAGATAGTATACTAAAACCATTATACAGAAAAGAGTTTAGAACCCAAAAAAACTTAAATGATTAAGACTCAGAAGCTAACCACAATAAGCTCCAAACTATAGTTGTAGTCATAAGCTTTGTGTATTGATACGGTGATCCATGATGGCTTGACAGCAAGCAAATTAAAGTAATCCTTGCTTAAGAACTGGTTGGTTAGTGACCATTCAAAGTTCTGACAATTTTTCCAAACAATACTTATGACTCAATTCTGAAGTTCAGATCTCGGTCATATGACTATATTTTGGGCACATGGCAATCAGCTCTTTTTTTTACAGCTGGTTGCAGTACTCTGCAGTCATATGACCATGATTTATAATGTATTTTGTCAGTTTCTGGTCTTTGGGCTGATTTCTGGCAAAAACTACCTATAGGACTTCATTGATTCTCTTAATGACCATTGTGTTCACTTTACAACTGTGATGTTTGTTTAACAACTGCTGCAAAACAAGTGGTAAAATCAGGTCATTCATATATAGAAGCTTCTATAACTTACCAGTTTTCTTCTTCAAATAAACTGATCAGACTTTATTTTTACAGATTAACTAAAATTTTGGCTGCTACCTAGCTTCACCTCAGTGATTGATTATCACTGTGATTAGTCAAAATCCATTATTAGAAGTTGATTTGTTTCAGATAGGTGTAATTAAGGTTAACTACAATTTGCTTGGGTTTGGATGACACAGCAAATTATGAGTAACCTTAAACAGAAATAAACACTTCAGATGTTTTGTTCTCATGCCAAGAGAGGCAGTGAAATTGAAGGATGTGAGTCCAAGTATCACTGCATTAAGGTTGAACATGTCCAAAACAATTCAATTTTTTTTATAAATATGAATTTATTTCATATCTTCTTTGTATTACTGTATACCATCTACTCAGTTTGTTCCAAGCAGCTTACAATTCTAAAGCAATAAAATATCCTCAAAACCAGTTGATAATAACGGCTCATTTGAACAAGAGGAAGTTATGTTCTAGAAATATTTCCTTATATGGCAGTTTGGAATAGTCTGTTGCCTTTTCCAGATTGTTCAATATGATTTCATTGATTTAGAATGTTTATGGAGCCTCAAAACTTCATTTCCCTTCTGTGAAAGTGCAAACAGATATTTTGACACTATTTAAAATGTGATAGTCATAAGAATATGAACTGCCTTTACTCTTATTAATTTTAGAGTTTTCTTGCCCATTTGGAAGACACAATTCCAATAGGATTCCTAGACTATCCTTTTGCCCTGCCCCCTTTTTCACACAGACCAAAATCTAATTTAGGCCTTTTAGAAGACCCCTTGAGAGGATTAAGGATAGGGATGAATCCCCCAGAATTTATCATTTAATTTATTTTTTCTCTTTCATAATGGATAAAATAATCTCTTGTTTACAGTTTGCACTTGCGTAGTCCACAAGCGATGCCATGAGCTTATAATAACAAAGTGCGCTGGCTTGAAGAAGCAGGAAGCCCATGATGAGGTAAATATTTACAGAAGGAATGCCTAAATAAAAGAAAACTCTGCAGAGTTAATGTGCTTAAGGCAAGGTTCTTCCAAATAACCAGTCTTTCCATCTCTTAATTTAAAATACACACAAAACTGATCTAGGTTGTTTTGACTCTCTTCAGATCTAGACATCAAGACACTGTGAGCACAGACATGATGGGTCTAGAGCTCTTAGAAAGCCGAAATTACTTAGCTATGGCCTTTTCTGGCCAATGGCTGACCACAGTGAACTGCTAGCCAGTCAGTGTTGCCTTGCTGGCCACTTGCCTTGTCCCTCAAGTCCATGTCTAAACATTCATTCTTCTGCCCTCTTCACGAAAATAAAAGATAATAAACTGCTAGTGCTTTCCCATGTGGCAAATGTCCATCACCTTATTTTCCTAATTCCTAATGCTGCATGCCATCCTACTGGTTTTCATAATTATGTCGGCATTCTGCTATAAAGGATCCCATATGATGGTAGGTTTGGTGAGCCATATGACTCCTCCAGTGATCATACAGACTGTCCCTTCAAGCACAGAGCAGTCATATATTGCAGCCCTATACTGGAGCTACTGCCTCAACACAATGGTTTCTTGTCCATATCTACAATATCTGATTTTGATCTATCCCTGATCTGCCCAGGGATAGATCAAAATCGCTTCCACGTCAATGTGATTAGCAACCTTAACCACCCTAGGGACTACATTTTCATTTGGAAAACCTCTTAACCTTCTCAAATTGCTACCACCTCTCCCATTTATATAAAAAAGAGCTAAAGTGTTACAGGATTGATGGGGTTTGCTTGGTTTCTGATTTGTTTGCATCATTCTAATTATATCTGCATGGGGAGAATAAAACATTTCAATGGAAGCAATAATTATTGCTAGGTAAAAAAAACCAAAAGCACACATATAAACTGGGGGAAACCAGGCTTAATAGCAGTGATTGTGAGAGGAATCGTGGAGTCTGAGTGCACAATCAGCTAATATGAGCCAGCAGTGTGCAGCAGCAGCCAAAAAGGCCAATGCAATCCTAAATTGCATTAACAGAGGGATACAATCAAGATCAAGTGAGGTACTAACACCACTCTATAAAGCCTTAGTAAGACCACACCTAGAGTACTGCATCCAGTTTTGATCACCACACTATAGAAAAGATGCTGAGACTCTAGAAAAAGTGCAGAGGAGAGCAACCAGGATGATTAGGGGACTGGAGACTAAAACATAAGAAGAACGGTTACATGAACTTGGCATAGCTAGTCTAGTGAAGAGAAGGACCAGGGGAGACATGATAGCTGTCTTCTAATACTTGAAGGTCTATCACAGAGAGGAGGGGGTCAAGCTGTTTTCCAAAGCACCTGAAGGCCAGACAAGTAATAATAGTTGGAAACTGACCAAGGAGAGATTCAACCTAGAAATGAGGAGAAACTTTCTGACAGTGAGAACAATCAATCAATGGAACAGCTTGCCTTCGGAAGTTGTGGGAGCTTCATCACTTGAGACTTTCAAGAAAAGATTGGACTGCCATTTGTCAGAAATGGTGTAGGGTCTCCTGCTTGAGCGGTGGGGGTTTGGACTAAATGATCTATAAGGTCCCTTCCAACTCTGTTAATCTGTTAATCTGAAATATAGCATAGGTTCTGAACCATCCTCCCAGGCTATGAAGGTGACTGACTACAATTTGCTTTGTGAAAGTTATAATGTAAGTTTTAGTTCAGCATTTCTTGAGGGCAACTAATTTGGAGAAGGCTAATTTCAACTCTCAGAGTGTAATAAGATACCGTGCATTCATGGACTTAATTTAATTTAATTTAATTAATTCAATTTATATGCCACCCCTCTCCGAAGACTCAGGGCGGCTCACAATACATTTTAAAAAATCATTATAAAAACATTTAAAAATTAAAAACATTAAAAACTCATTCACGCCATTCATGGCCAGATCTCACCAGATCACAAGAGCAAGATCAACGGACCCAGGCCTGCCAGAAAAGCCAGGTCTTCACCGCTTTTCGGAAGGCCAATAGGGTGGGGATGGTCCGGACCTCAGGAGGTAACTGGTTCCAGAGAGCTGGGGCAGCCACAGAGAAGGCCCTCCTCCACGGGCCCGCCATCCGGCATTGTTTAGCTGACAGGACCTGAAGGAGACCAACTCTGTGGGATCTTACCAGTCACTGGGAGCTATGCGGCAGAAGGCGGTCTCGAAGATAACCTGGCCCTGAGCCATGTAGGGCTTTAAAGGTAATACCAACACCTTGAATTGTGACCGGAGACCAATAGGGAGCCAGTGCAGCTCACGGAGAATTGGTGTAATGTGGGTGTATCTAGGTGCACCCACGACAGCTCGTGTGGCTGCGTTCTGGACCAACTTTAGTCTCCAAACACTTTTCAAGGGTAAGCCCATGTAGAGCATGTTGCAATAACCTAACCGTGAGGTAACAAGGGCATGAGTGACTGTGAGGAGAGCCTCCTGATCCAAGTAGGGTCGCAATTGGTGCACCAGGCGAACCTGTGCAAAGGTCTCCCTATCTACAGCTGCCAGATGTTGCTCTAATCTTAGCTGAGAGTCTAAGAGTACACCCAAATTGCGACCCCGTTCTGAGGGGGACAATCCCCCCCCCCCGAATCAAGGATGGACAGTTGACATAGTCGACATATTACGAGGCAATACCCATAGCCACTCGGTCTTGCCTGGGTTAAGTCTGAGCCTGTTGACTCCCATCCAGACTTCACAGCCTCCAGGTACCGGCACATCACATCCACCGCATCATTGAATTGATGCGGGGTAGAGATATACAGCTGGGTATCATCCGTGTATTGCTGATACCTCACCCCGTGTTGTTGGATGATCTCACCCAACGGCTTCATGTAGATGTTAAAAAGAAGGGGAGAGAGGACCAAGCCCTGAGGCACCCCGCAAATGAGGGGCCTAGGGGTCGACCTCTGTCCTCCTACCAACACCGACTGTGACTGACCAGAGAGATAGGAGGAGAACCACCGTAACACAGTGCCTCCCACTCCCAGCTCCCTTAGTTGGGAGTGGGATACCATGGTCAATGGTACTGAAAGCCGCTGAGAGGTCAAGTAGCACCAAGATGGAGGAATGACCCCCATCTCAGGCTCGCCAGAGATCATCCATCAGCGTGACCAAAGCAGTTTCCATGGAGACTGGACAAAATTTCTTTAATTCTGCTGGATCCAGGGAAGGCTTCTTGAGGAGGGGCCTTACAACTGCTTCCTTTAATGGTTGCGGGAAGGCCCCTTCCCTCAAGAACGCGCTAACTAAAGCCTGGAGCCAGCCTCGTGTCACCTCCCTGCTGGCCAAAACCAGCCAGGAGGGGCACAGGTCCAACAAACAAGTGTAGGAACTCATCACTCCTACAGCCTTCCCCACTTCCTTAGGAGTCACAGGCTCAAACTCATCCTGCACAATGGGACTAAGACCTGCCCCCGTCATCTCGGTTGGAATTGCCCAATCAGAGTCCAGGTCCATCCGAATCTGAGTGACTTTATCCGACAGAAACTGCACAAACTCCTCAGCTCTACCCTGCAAGGGCTCCTCCACTCTCCCTACATTAAGGAGGGAGCAAGTCACCCTAAATAGGGCAGCTGGGCGCGAATCAGCGGATGCAATAAGTGGGGAAAAATGCAATCATTTTGCCACCCGTATTGCCACTAAATAAGTCCTAATAAAGGCTCTTAAGAGTGTTCGGTCAGATTCGGAGTTACTGGTCCTCCAGCGTCGCTCTAGACGTCTCTTCTGGCGCTTCATCTCCCGGAGCTCCTCGGTAAACCAGGGAGCTTTCCTGGATCCACCGCCATGGAGAGGTCGCAAAGGACAATCCGGTCCAGTGTCCCAGATGCCACCCTATTCCAGGCAGCCACCAGGGACTCAGTCGGACTGTGGACAAGGGAGTCAGGTATCTCCCCAAGCTCCTTATGGAACCCTTCAGGGTCCATTAGGCGCCTGGGGCGGAACCACTTAATTGGCTCCGCCTCCCTGCAATGGAGGAGTAGCACCCTGAAGTCTAACCTCAGCAGAAAATGATCTGACCACGACAAGGGAGAAGTATCTGTACCCCTTAATTCCAGATCATATCTCCACTGCCCCGAGAGAAACACCAGGTCAAGTGTGTGTCCCCCCCCATGAGTCAGACCCTGAACTAGGTCAAGCCCATGGTTGTCATGGAAGCCATGAACTCCTGAGCCGCATCTGAGGATTCGCCAAGTGACGGCAAGTTGAAGTCCCCCAGTATCATAAACCTGGGGAACTCCACCGCCAGCCCGGCTACTGCCTCTAGCAGCACAGGCAGGGCTGTCGTAACGCAGCTGGAAGGCAGGTATGTCAACAACAAGCCCAAGACTTCTTTCTAAAAAGTTCAACTGTACAGATCCCTCTTCTGTTGCATTTCCATTTTCCAAGGGACATTGTTCTTACCTCATTTTCAATGTCCCCCTTGCCTTACAAGACAATATGTTCAGTGTTTTCAAAAGAGATAGTTAGTGACCTACAGTAGCAACTAATGCTACATATTATCCTAGCAGGACCTTGTGATTTCCTGTATTGATTTCATTCTTGGATTCCAGTTTCCTGGAATTTCTAAACTGAAATAGTAATACTGTATATCTTTAAGTGCGATAGGAAACTTAAAAACAAAACAAAACCTGAGAGGGCAGCAGCTTAATTTTTCTAGTAGTTGACATTAATTCAATGTTTTCTAACTTGGCAACTCTAAGATGGGTGGACTTCATCTCCCAAAATTCACCAACCAGCCACACTGGATTAAACAGTAGCATGCTAACTTTGGTCCTTTTGCACTTTTTATCTTCCAGGTGGGTTCTCAGCGTTTCAGTGTTAACATGCCTCACAAGTTTAGCATTCACAATTACAAAGTGCCCACCTTCTGTGACCACTGTGGTTCATTGCTTTGGGGTCTTCTGAGACAAGGTTTACAATGCAAAGGTAAGATACTTTTTCTCTTTAAATGCAGGATTTTGTTCTTAATGTTATAGCTTAGTCCCATTCAGGTCTACCTTGATGTACATTAAACTGAAACGTCTATAGAGATTCTCAGTCATCCAGTCATGGTTGTCCCAAAGTCCAATTGCCTTTTGAAAAAGCACCTGTGGGATATGAAACAAAATAGGTCTTAGATGATTCCCCTTTGGTTGGTACAACACTATTATATACTTAAAGTAATTAAGCTCTTACAAGTAAATTATGTAAACTGCAACCTAAAAAGTAAGAGTTAAATGTCCTTGCACTGCTCAAGTCAGTAGCCTTAAGCATGTTTTTAAGATCAGGCTCTATAGACTCAGTTGTTATAGATAAGTTATGTTTCCATGTGTAATTGCACAGTAATGCACTAATTTACATGTGACAGCTAAAACAGGGTTCTCAGAAAATTATGTAATACCCAGTTAATGGAATAATTTGATATATAGTTCTGGCCTTGAGTTCAGAGAAAGTTTTGCCCAGACTGAAATGTTTTTCAGATTTAACTCTCAGTCTGTGTGGTTGATTAAGTCCCAATTGCTTTCCTACCCATTTGTTGCATGTTAGAATAAAATACTTCATTTTCATTGGGAATATTTGTCTGTTTGAGCAGTATAAATTGCAAGCACACGGTGGACAATTTGGCCAGACTCAAAAAGTGACATGCAAAAATATAAACCTAAGTTAATGGCATTATTTGATAGTGATCAATATGGAGTGAAAAAATTGCAGTGTGGGACAATTAGGATCACATAGTGAAGGCAAAGGGTACATCTGAGAATTTACTAGCTTCTCTAACATAATTCTTGAGTCTGAATACACAACTATGTATTTGCTGTGCACATTTAATCTACTCTCCTGTCTGCTCTTTTCACTGGTTACAACTGATGTAAAATGAGTATAATTCCCACTCTCACTTTGGGGGTGAGAGGTCATCTGATGTGAACTAGCACACTTGCTAAATAAACTCATTCTATCTGCAAGATCTCTCTCAAATGTTATTAGGAATAACACAGGAGAAACAGAGAGATAGAAATGAAATAATGAATGCATGGTAAACACAGAATTTAAACCTAAATATCCCAAATTTGATTCTTTTCATTTTTTGGTCTTTCCAGTGGAATATAAATCCATTGGCAAAAGTACCAAAGGTTATATTCCAAAGCTTTAAAAAATCTCTGATTATTAAATGCTGACATTAATGGGTATTTTTGGGAGGGGATGTGAAGAGAGCAACATTAGATATTCAACAGCATAGTCTTACCACAGATCTTTGCACAAATTTAATATTTCTATAGATTCATGAACCTGTTTTGTTTTATTATGGCATTAGTATGCATGCATATATACATTCCACCACAGAATCAGGCATGAAAATGTGAATTATATGCATTCTTCTAAAATACACAATTTTGTAAGGATTTTTGTTTGCATTGGAAAATTAGAAAGTGAAAGCAATAAATAACTTTCCTTTGAAAACCTGTACCAAACATCTCTGCCAGCATTAGATTTATGCTAGAGTACAGAGAAATACTGTAAATTTCAACTTTCCAATGTAAAAATCACATTTTTAGTGGTCAGCATTCTCTATTTTGCCATCTCATTTTCATAATGGGTGTTATATTTCTTGCAGTTTATACTTCACTATATCTGCCATAGCACACGTGAGGGAAAAAGCTTAGTACTTCGAATATTCCTTTTACTTATTTATTTCTAACTGCACACAGAACAGAAAGTATCTAAAATATTTCAAAGAGAAAGACCAGGGGAAATAAGGATGTCCAGCCATTGCTGTCATGTTTCATATTGGCCTTTTCAAATCTGAGTGGGAGACATTTCTACTTTTACTCAGTAACTTGCGCATTTTAAGAAACTGCAATATTGGACCTTATTCAGAGTAAGCTTTGGTCTCTTTTTTTCTCAGTAAAGACTCAGATAAAACACAGATCAATCATGTGAGGATTTTGATTTCTGAATAATTTAAGGGGTATTCTAGAAGGATGCTGTTTTGAAAGCACAATGACCTTTTTCTTTGGGTAAAAGGGCAAGTAGAAATCTCAGCTTTGTAATAAATATTCTTTCATTGTGTTGAATATTGTGTCCAGACATAATGACAACAAAACAGGAAAGGATAGGATTGTAAGATGGACCTAAACATGGACCCAAATTATTTTTTCTCCTCCAGATTTTGAATCTCTGAATCAATTTGGTACAGAGGAATTTTCTCCCACAAATTTCCTTACCTTTTTGTTTCATTTCCGCAAATTCTTCATTTGGACCCAGTTTGTGGGGGCAATAAGCTGACTTTGTATAAAATATACAAAAGTATGAAGGCTATTGCTTAGCGCCTTGTAAGCCACCCTGAGTCTCCGGAGAAGGGCGGCATATAAATCAATTTTTTTTTAAAAAAAATGTTATTTTAATTTCCTCCACAAGAAAGCACAAGTGTAATCCAGCACTGCTATGATGACAGTAAACCCCCTCCCCCCCAAAAAATGGTTGGATATTAAACAATTTCTCCCCACTTATTTGATGCTTCTACTTGTACATTTGAAATCAATATATTTATGTGAAGCATATATATTATTCCTTTTTTTGGACTTAATTTGGGTCTGCATTTACAAGGATTGAGGGTTGATTGCAGTTTCTTCTGCAAACAGGCAGGATGATGTGGGAAATTCTTGTGTTACTATGACCATGGTAACTGATTTAATTGGCTATAACTGGAAAAAATGCTGCCAGTTATCCCTATTTATTGAAGCTAGTTACATGCATGGCCCACCTGTCAGTTATTTTCCACTAAGGGAGTAAAAGCTTTGTGGTTAGAAGGTATAGAGAACAAGTGAATCTCTACAGAAGAAACACAGAGATGATGTAAGGGAAATTAAACTGAGCCAAATAAAGAAATGAAAGAAAAAACATAGATTCATAAAGCTGTTGTGGTGCAGAAATAGCAAAAAGAATTCTGATTAGGGGATGAGAGGATTATAAGGGATGTGCAAAGGGAGACCTCTGGGAAGCAGGAAATGGGGGTTCAGAAGTAGCTGTGGTATAGAGATGGAGGGAAAATAAAGTAAGAGGAACTTGTAAGAAAAGACTTTAGTGAATCTAGAAGTGACTGAGATATGATGATCAAAGTGGGTAACATTAAATGAAAACATGCTGTGCCCAAAAGAGGATAAAATGAAAGCCCAGAGAAAGGGATGACCATATATATAGATAAGTGAAGGCTTCTGAGAATGAAGGTAGAGAATCAGGAATATGCACCAAAGTTATCAGAATTGGCTTTTTAAAAAAAACAAAACACTGAACTAAAATGGCAACAAAAATGCTGTTCCTGTTTAATACAACATTATGAGCTCTTTGAGTTGTCAAAATGTTGAAGTGCTCGTATTGATTTTAGCTATATATAATTCACTCTAAAATCTTACAAGGAAGCTTGTTTGTTTTCCTCTTTTCTCTTTTCCTTGTTCATTGCCTTTGTCTCCTACATTTCCCTCAGGAACTCAAGCAGGGTCAAGTACTTCACTCCTCACAAAAGTCCTATGGGCTAAGTTGTACTGAAGAGTAATGATCGGTCCAGAGTCAGCTTATGAATTTCATGACTGACGATGTGACCCGGGTCTTCATGATCTTTCTTGTTTTTGTACCACAATGGGTGTGTTGGTTTTATTTTCCAGAAAGACTGCTATTGAATCTTTGTAGCCAAACATTTGAAGGAAAGACAGGAACAAGTCCCTACAGTGTATTTATTTGATTGTTGTTGTACAGAAGATTGCAGTTAGAATAGGGGCAGATTAAAGAACTTTTTCTATCAGCATCCATGCTTAATGTCTATTCCTCCCCCCAGGGCCAGATTTTCCTATAGGCTAACTAGGCTTCAGCCTAGGGCCTCAAGATCAAGAGGGGCCTACATTCAAATTGTTAGCAAAATTAAAATTACACTTTCACTATAGGTGAAAGGGCCTCATAAGTGGAATAGCCTAGGGCCTCTTTTCATCTAAATCCGGCCCTGCCTCCCACCCCCCCTAATTTTCTGGTTTTCTAAGCAACCATAATGTCATGCAAGATCAAAAATTTCCAAGTGTTTTTCTCATTTTTGGTGAGTTGGGAAAAGTTGTTTTGTAAGGAAGTAAATTATTGAGCTTATTTTCTTTATTTGGGGGTTTACAAATGGCTCCAAAATTGTACTGATGAATTGGACTGGAAGCCCACCCAAATTCAGCAGTAATCTGGGGTAATCTCTATGAGCTCCCAAAGCGAGGTGAGCAGTGGTGGGTTGTCCCGGTTCGCCCCGGTTCAGAGAACTGGTAGTGACGGTGGCGGGAGACTCACCCACCTGCCCAGACATCATCAAAAATGCTCTGCGCATGAACAGAAGCACCATATGCTTGCGAAGCGTGTGGAAAAGAGCCTTGGTGGCGCAGCAGACTAAAGCACTGTTAAGTAACACCAGCTGCCTGCAATTACTGCAAGTTCAAATCTCACCAGGCTCAAGGTTGACTCAGCCTTCCATCCTTTTGAGGTAGGTAAAATGAGGACCCATTTTGTGGGGGCAATAAGCTGACTTTGTATAAAAAAGAACACCGCTTGGGGAGGGCCGAAAGCCCTACTAAGCAGGTATATACAAAAAAGTATGAAGGCTATTGCTTAACGCATTGTAAGCCACCCTGAGTCTCCGAAAAAGGGCGGCATATAAATCGAACCAATAAATAAATAAACAATAAATAAAGCATGCCCCGCACTACCGATAGCGAAGCTGTAGCGCCGGGATTTGAAACCCACTACTGGAGGAGAGTATTGTTCATCCCTGAACTCTTTAGTTCGATCCTGCAAGCCAGTTCTTTATAGAATAAAACTTATCTGAACTGTCACCAATCTGTTTAGTCTATTAAATCAGATTCTCACTACAGGGACTGTAAAAGAGATTTTGTGAATAATACAGATAAATAATAGATAGTAATATATCAGGACAGCTTAATCTTATTTAACCGGGATCTTTCTTGTCCCCCTCCCTTCTGTTTGGTTTAAATTACAGTTTGCAAGATGAATGTACATAGACGCTGTGAAACAAACGTAGCACCCAACTGTGGAGTAGATGCTAGAGGGATCGCTAAGGTACTTGCGGATCTTGGCGTTACTCCAGATAAGATCACTAATAGCGGACAAAGGAGGAAGAAGGTAACCAAGGAAACAGTTTAAAATATGAACTAATAATGGTTCTGCACTGTGAAGCATGGGAGACATCTTGTGTCCTTTTATCTTAGTTTGGATTTTAGAGCATAACTATATGTTCTGGTTCCTTTAAGGATCCTCAAGGAATGTATTTGTCACTTCACTTCCAAACAAAATGACCTGATGATGACCTTCACAAACCAATGCGCAGATTGAACTTCAGCTATCTATCAGATTCCACAACAACAAATTGCTGAAAAGACTTCCTCCTCTTTCCAAATTCCTGCTTTAGCAATTAAAATATGCATTTGGAATATATTTATGGAGAGGAATTTGCAAATTAATGTAAGAGCATGGCAGTACAATGATTCTGTATTGTCTGGATAAAACGTGCAAAAGTAGCAATGACCTGGAAATATTTCACCCATCCCAAATATTTATTTCTGGTGCCACTGAAAATGTTGGCCTATTCCCTTCCTATACAAAATAGCAGCCAGTAATGTGGAGTCGTAGATCATGTTGTCGTAAGTCAAGATAAGTATTTAAAATAACCTTCCTTAACTTGATGATATCTAAATTATAAAGCTATAATCTGTCTATAATGTATCTAAACAATAAAAAGTTGGACAAGTGTGTTTTTAATCATTGCTGAGTTCCTGATTTGCAGATAACTTTTGCTACAGCAAAACCTGCATCACTTATAACATGTACTGTAATTTTTCCTTGCTTTAAATAATTATGATGGAAAGAAATTAGATTGAAATTAGAAAATAGGGGGGAAAAAATCTAACTTTTTCTTGACATAGTAACTAAAACATGTTACCTATGAATAAGAAAGCTTGACATTGTGCTTGAAATCCATGAATTTGCATTTCTCCTACAGCTTCCTTACACAAACACCATCAAGCAGGGTATATAACTTGTTTCAATCTGAGGGCCGCTTTAGCCCTTTGAGTGGCATGTTGTAGATTAGAACAAATACTTTTAGTTATTTTAATTAAAGAAGATGAATTACTGTCCACACATTTATTTTTCCTTTCTGTTAAATTATATGGCCCAGGTAAATACCCTGCTTTAGAATTACAATACCAGATTAACTCTTTGTTATCTTTGAAGAGACTGAAGACTAATGGAGCTAAAGGATAAATTAGATGCTACACTGAAAATAAATGTGACATCAGACAAAAAGCCCTTTATTTCTGATGAAAAATATTAACGGTGGGTGTTTGTAGCACAACATGAATGGGAGGGCATAGTTCTCTTCTCTTGCTAGCTGAGAATAATTTTCCTTACAAGAGTCCAGACCACAAAGTAGTAATCCAATAGAAATGAAATTATGGCTATCATAAATCAGATCATTAGGGATCTGACTTTTGGGTGAGAAGGGCTCTGCATTCTGGAAGAAAAGAGATAAATTTCCAATCCCCCAATTTCTCCTGCCTTCTGTAATTAATTAAATTATAATCAAAACCTGAAGCTGCATCATGCAAATAAAACATAATAAGGGACATTTATTAGCAATTTGTCCCTTATACTGATGTGACCTTAGTAGCAGTGAAGTCACAGATGGTTGCATTCTTTTTTCAATTGTTAGAAAGAACATTTCTTGTCAGGAAGCCACATAAACATCACAGCCACTGCTTTGAAGTTCCTTTCTGGGAACACACATGAATGTAAATACTCTTAAATGTAAATACTCTTATCTAGTTGAAAAACTCTCTGCCCTCCATGCTATTACAATGATGTCAAATGGAAACACAGTGAAATAACATTCTTCTGAAACAATTCAGTAGATATTTGCAAAACTGACTCTTCCACACAAACACACATCGGTTAGAAAGTATACTGTACATATGGAGAATACAATAGTTATACCCAGCGATATATACATGGTCAATCACCAATTGTATGGTCAATACAATTTGTGTACACTGATATGTAAATCCTACTATGGACAGTATGGCTTTCTCCCAGCTAGGTGTCTAAACATTGCTTTCTGCAGTTGCTTTACTGACTTTAATAGTGAATCAGAAATAGCATGTGCTGCTTTTTCACTTAATATTGTCGTCCTGTCCTATAGGTACTTTTATTTAATGAACGTAATACTAGCAAGCATGGAGCAACTCACAGTAGCTTCCAACAAAAAACAAAACAGTTATAGAAATAAAATGGTGGATCAAAGAACAGCATAGAACAATAAAAACAGAAAAATAATAACCGTAGATGGTGCCAACCAGTCATAGCAACACAACATCATAATTGAAAAGTCCTATGGAAGAGTTCTCTTTAGCCTTACAGAATGACCTCAAGATTGGTGGTATCCAGTCCTCCATGAAGAGGGAGTTCCCCCACTGACACAGAAAAATGTATTTATTGATCTCCATAATTTTCACACATCTTTTTTATATGGAACACTGAGCATTTCCAAGTGGATCTTAATATCTTAGATAGATCCACACAGAGAGCCTCCATACAAGAAACTAGCAGAGATTTCTTAGTGGTTAGAGGTAATCTTGCATTGCTGTTGGGTACTTCGGGCTCAGCAATGATTTCTGATGAAGCTGTATATGTTTAAATCTTAGCATGAAATTGTATCTTCCTTTTGGCTCATGCTCCTACAAAAATTGTTAAAATCAAGCATCCTTATGCTTTGGTGAACATAATCTATCTAAAACCCACTCAGATTTTAGTCTCGTACAGTTTCATATGTCATCAATATTTTGTTAGAAGCATATTATAATGGACTATTAAATCCATGAAGATTTTATTAGAATCTTATTTCAGAAGAACAGAACAGAACAGAATAGAATAGAATAACAGAGTTGGAAGGGACCTTGGAGGTCTTCTAGTCCAACCCCCTGCTTAGGGGGGTTGCCTATACCATTTCAGAAAAATGGTTATTCAATCTCTTCTTAAAAACTTGTGGTGTTGGAGCATTTTAAAAAGACTTTTTAAAGGGGTTTAAAGGTTGAATACCTTTGAAAGAAACTCCAGATTTAAACTTTGATTAAAGGTAAAATGTATTTTCAGTTGCCTTTCCCCTTTTGCAGAAAAGCATTGTTATGTGAAGTTACATCTTTGATGTCTCATAAATGCCATGTCAGAAGAGCACATGATTGTGATTAAGTATCTCTTTTGTTGGATTATTTTTAGCTTGTTCCGGGTGCAGAATCTCAACCGCCGGTTCCTGGATCCTCACCAGGAGAAGATGACAGATCAAAGTCAGCACCAACTTCTCCATGTGATCAAGGTTCATCAACATATATTTTCTCCTAATAAATAAATTGCATTTACCTTAACATTTTGACTAACCTATGTCATTTAAAAATGCAGTTCCACCAGTTCTAATTTAACAGAACATCCAACTTTTAAACAATACCATAATTTGAATCAGTTAGCCTTCAGATAGTCATTCATGCCCTTGTCACTTCACAGTGTGACTGTGGCAATGCAGACTACATGGGGCGTCCTTGAAGACCCCACTCTCCCCTGAAAGCTTCAATTGGTCCAGAACATAGTGGTGCAAGCAGTGATTGCCTTATCTCAGCACACTGATCTCTGCTTCTTGAGCTATACCCGTGATGGTAACCTATGGCATGTGTCCCTGAGGTGGCACGCAGAGCCATCTTTCCGGGCATGTGAGCTTTAGCCAACTCACCTGCAGCTGCACATGCGGGCGTGCCCCAGCTGGTGTTCAGACCTTTGATGCACATGCACACAATTCAGCTGGTTTTCGGAGTTCTCTTGCGCATGTGCGTATATTTGCGCATGCACATGAGAGTATTTGCACAGAGCCACGTGCATGGGCAGATGGTGTGATAGCACATGCAGCGCATGGGGGGACCTCTGTGAAAGCTGCATGCATGTGCAGATGGTGTAGTTGCATGCACAGCGCACAGGTGTACACAAAAGCCATGTGCATGCGCAGATGGTACGGTTGCACATGCAGCGCACGGGGAAGGAGCCACATGTTAGTGCAGATAGCATACATACATATGAAGCACGTACCTGTTCGGTACTCGGTGAGTAAAAGGTTCGCCACTGCTGAGCTATACTGATTGCCATTGTGCTGCCGGGTGTAATTCAAGGTCCTGGTTATTACTTGTGAAGCCCTACCTGGCATAGTGTGTAGCTATTTCCAGGAATATCTGTCTTCTGTGATTTCTGCCTGCCCAATATGACCTGGCAAAGTGGGCATAGTTCAGATCCCTCAATTTTTTGGGATCCAGGAAGCACACTTTTCTTGTAGCAGTGCCTGGAATGATGTCCCCTTAAGCATTGTATAGCTCCCATGCTGATGAGATTCCAAAAAGCCTTAAAATCTTTCTCTGGACTTAATGCTGTAACTGTTTTTAAAACATCCCAATAATTAAAGTATCAAATATTGGGATCTAATAATTAATAAACTCAAACAAGAAAAATCAATGTTTGGCAGTGTCTTTTGTGTGTCCACAACGAGTGGGGTCAAGAGACAAACAGCTGTCACGCAACTATTTCTTCTTTTTTATGATCAGTTTAGAGTTTATTTGCAGTTAAATTTCAAAGTGGCAGAAAATGACACCTCCAGTTGTCAATAATAATAGTCAGAAGACATTTTAGCAAAGCTGTCTGAGGAATTCTGGGAGTTGAAGTCCACAAATCTTAAAGTTACCAGGATTGGAGACCCTTGTTTTAGAGGTAAAGGTAGCCCCGGAGCCTCAGTTTATCACTGCTGCCTTAAAATGACAAAACAACCCAATTCTATGTCACATGCTAAGTCTCCAGTGTGCAATGTTAGGGAACCTCCCAAAGGAATCCTGGAGCAGAGCCAAAATCTGATAGGCTGCTCTCTGCTTGAGGCATATATTTTCCTACAAGATTCTTTTGTTTTCTGCCCCTAGACCAGTTTAAATTCAGTCAAGAAAGTACCGTATGCGTAAAATTGGGAGCCATAACCTCTCATTCTTTGGGACTCAAAAAGCATCTGATATAATTCATCTGTCTCCAGAATTAATATAAAATCCTGCAGGGTTTTTTGTAAAATATTTTCCGGTCAGTACTGGTTTTTTTGTCTTCACACAGAAATCAAAGAGCTTGAAAATAACATCAGGAAAGCATTATCATTTGACAATCGGGGAGAAGAACATAGGGGAGCAGCAACAAGCTCAACTGATAGCCAACTTAACACACCCGGGGAGAATGGGGAAAATGGTGACGTCAAAGCTCAGACAAGGCGAATGGGCCTGGAGGAATTTAACTTCATTAAAGTATTAGGAAAAGGCAGCTTTGGAAAGGTGAGCAGCCTACAAATGCTACTTGGTTGTTTTTGGTCACTTGCCTTATCATTTATTTATTTGTTTTGTTTGTCAAACATAAGAAAGCTGGTATAGGTATAAACATAAAGGAAGTAAGTACAGATAAATGGGGACAGTAAGACAGGGACAGTAGGCACGCTGGTGCGCTTATGCATGTCCCCTTTACAGACCTCTTAGGAATGGGGTGAAGTAGACAGTTTGAGGTTGAAGCTGTGAGGGTTTGAGCAGTGGTGAGTTGTCCCCGATTCAGACTGGTTCTACAGAACTGGTAGTAAAACTGGCAGGAGGCTCCGCCCACTGACCCTGATGTCATCAGAAGCGATCTGCGCATGCGATCCCGTTGTGAACTAGTAGTAAAGGTAAGTAGAACCCAACCCTGGGTTTGAGGCTGTAACAACAGAGTCGGATAGAGCATTCCAGGCATTGACCACGCTGTTGCTGAAGTCATATTTTCTGCAATTGAGTTTGGAGCAGTTTACCTTGAGTTTGTATCGATTGTTTGCCCATGTATTATTGTGGTTGAAGCTAAAGAAGTCATTGACAGGTAAGACAGGTAAGACATTGTAGCAGACAATTTTGTGTACTATGCTTAGATCGGACTGCAGGCAGCACAGTTCCAGATTGTCCAAGCCCAGAATTTCAAGTCTGGTGGCATAAGGGAATCTATCATGATTCCTAAGCTGAAAATATTACAGGCTTCTCAGGTAGACCAGACAGGAAACATGAACAGATGGTCTAATGTTAGTTTATTGTAAGAATACATTAACAGAATATTGCAAGTCTGAAACTAGAGATATCCTACCATCTCCTTTACAGTTTGAGAAGTTTGGGAGGGTCCCTTCTGAGCCTCTTTCTTCACCTATTATCCTGCTTCAGGCTATGGAGTCTCTTATCTGACTGTTTCTTAAGCAGCATCTCTTCATCCTGTCTCTTTAAGTCTTTCTCATATACCATTACAATTACGGTGCCTATAGAAATACATTCTTTGTCACATGAAATTATGGCCAAGATGTGCAACTTCGGTTTTGCCAAAAACAGCCTTAGAATAGTATATTAAGAAAGAGCCACACAAAAGGGCTTTATAAAAAGCAGTGAACAGGAGATCAAACTAAATTATATAAATTATTACTCATTTTAATTACCGTATTTTTCAGATTATAAGACACACCGGAGTATAACACACACCAAGATTTCAAAGAGGAAACAAGAAAAAAAATAGTTTTTGCCCTCCCTGGCCCTCAGGAGCACTCTGCAGGCCTCCCAAGCCCTCTGAGAGTCCCATTTTTGCTAAAAAATGGGCCCGTTTTTTGCAAAAGCAGGATGCACAGAGGGTTTGGGAGGCCTGCAGAGTGCTCCTGGAGGCTGGGGAAAACAAAAATGCGACATGGGGGGGGGGGTGGGAAACTACCCACCCGTCGGCTTTCTTTCTTCCCACAGCCCCCAGGAGCACCTTGCAGGCCTCCCAACCCCTCTGCACATCCCGTTTTTGTGAAAAATGGGCCCTTTTTCGCAAAAATAGAACATGTGGGTTGGGGTTTCAGGAGGCCAAAAATGACTGTATGCGGTGTATAAGTCGCACCAACATTTCCACCCTCTTTTAGGGGGAAAAAAGTGTGCCTTATACTCCGAAAACTTTAATATATACATTCACATTTACAACAATCCCTTCCCATTGTATTCCAGTTGATTTCCAGGTTTAAAATAACCATGTGAGTAAAAACCCACAGATTTTCCCAGAATTAGATGTTATTTATTAGTTGTCTAAGCAACATTCAATATATTACAAAAAAAAAAAGTTGGAAGTAAGAGAATTCATTTTACCGTAGTTAAGTCCTTGCCTGAATAAATGAGTGATTCTAGTCTATGCTCTAGATAGGGAAGCTCTTGAATTCATGGGAGCAGCAGTGTGAGGTTACACAGGGCTCAACTCTCCTTTATATTCTTCAGTTTCTATATGAAACCTCTGGGAGATGTCAATTGTAAGTTCAGGATGAGATCCTACCAATAGGCTGATTAGATTCAATAATATCCTGGCATCCCAGGCTGAGCAACAGCTGATGTGGAAGTCTTGACGAAGCATCTGAAAACAGTGATGTGGATGAGGTGAAACAACATTCAGATTAAATCTTACCAAGATGGTCTTGCTAGTAAACATCTGGTACCCCATAATATAAACTTGCTCCTGCTAGTTACTCTGGACAGTGTTGTACTCTCCCAGTAGAAGGGCCAGGATGCTCTGGCATTAATAATGCATGTCCCGATCACAATGTGATTAGTCTACTACAATGCATTCTATTGGGATGATCTTTGGACATGCAACAAATAGTATAATAGTTAATACTTATCTATGTAGAATAATATTAACATCAATGTGTTAGTTGATATTAGACTTCTGGGGCCAGTTCAAAGTGCTTTTATTTCCTTCAAAGCTCAGCAGAAACATATATCATGCATCACGTTATCACTATTGAATTGGCTTGTCCAGTTTGTTCACTTAGAGAAAGGCTATTAAAAGTCCCCAAACTCTGCAGTGAAATACATTAAATGAGGATAAGACAAACTTCGTGGTGGCCCCCTCATTCAGAACCTTCTCCTCCCAGAGGTACACGAGGCCTCAACTTTGCTGACATTCTAAAATCAGTTAAATCCATTTTATTCCATAAGTCTCATTCATTGCTATACGTCATTGGCCTTAATTTATGTTTTGGTTTTTATTCCTATTTTTTCCTTATTTGTTTTTGCTTTTTGCCCTTAAAGTATATTGCCCATAACTCTAGAGATTTAAATATAAATACTTTTAAAAATACCGTAGAATAGAAAAGAAAAAATGAATGGAAAGAAGACTCCAATAGGATGACAAGAAAGGCTAAATGCATATCTGAAAGATTATAGGAAATTCATAGCACTCTATATCTCACCCTGCATTGATGTTATTTGTTTCCATGATTTTGGGATCTGGAGGTACATTGACAAGTCATTTGTAAAGTCATGTGGTCTTCCTCACCAGGAAACTTACCTCTGCCATTGTATGAATCTTACAAATAAAGTGCAATTTGACTTTGGTTTCTCCAGTCTTTTATGACACTGCTTGTTAAATTTTCCCATCCCACCTAAACTTGCTTACCCATTAAGTGGTGTCAGATCTAAGCTGGTAGGTACAATGGATCTTGTCAAATCATCTCCTTTAAGGCAGATGCTGCTGCCTTGTGAACTAGTTTGAATCAATGGATAATGTAGGCAACTGTTTCTCAACTGATGCCTTCTAGGCATGAAGATTTGCAACTTCCAGAATTTCTGACCTTACATAAAATCATAAGCTAATATATCTTCAGGAGAGTAATTTGACAAAAGTTGATGTTGGAGATGTAGTTACAGAAGACCAAGCTCTACATTCTGTTCACATGACTTTGTACACATGACAATCTGTTGTTTTATTATTCTTATAAAAGAATGTTACCATCTATGTACAGAAAAGAACTATAGCAAGAATGTATAACTGAATTTCTACAAGTCCTGAGGCAGAAATGTTTCTCATTTCAAAGTCTGATTTTTTAAAAAAATGTCAGTATTATATTGTGAGTTGAATACATATCTACTTATTGAAGTGCTAAAATATGTTTGTCAAGGAGCCTAACTGTAAAAAGTGTTCTGTCAGGTAATTGACATTTCTTCACTGTGTAGATGTTTCCTGTTTTGCTTTATCTGATCCTGCAAATCAAATAAGTTTTTGCTTATTTTTTCTGCTTGCCAGCTATGCAAACTTAACATGGCATGTAGATATTAGACTGTATTTGTTCTGGCTCCAATCACTACACCCTATAAAGTGGTTACAAAATAGTGAAAAGGATAATGACAAATCTCACTTTCTATAATTATAGAACCATTCTTGGTTTCTTCATCTCTATGCAAGGTAATCAGGGATACTTACAATTCTAAAGTTCATAGACATGTGCCAAACATCTTCATTGGGGCCAATATATTTACTCAGGAAGATCTGTGTTATAAAAAAAAGAGATCCAATTTTGCCATGATTCCCTCACTTGTGTAAGGGTACATTCTTTGAACATTCCCCAGGTTCACTTCCTTTATATGTTTCTATCTGCAACTTGGAGGCTTCCCTGCAACTACTGATTAGGAAGTATGGCATTTCTAGTCAAACTAGAAAACAGTGGATTGGAGAAAGCAGCTTGTTCTAGTATTGTACTGCAACCATTGGTGTATCTGGACAATGCTGCAATGTTCTTTAGGGTAAGATTATATATGGATGTATATAGAATGTATATATGTAAGAACATGGATGCAGCATTGTCCAGATATACAGCTATGGTTGCAGTACTAGAACAAGCAGCTTTCTCCAATCTCTCTTTCCCTCCCCCCTCCCTCCTTCTCATTACAATGTCCCTTCATGCCAATAGCTATCATGCCTGAGTGAATAGGCAAGTTGCTATGGTAAAGAGGAGTCAGTTGATTATAGGCTGTTCTACTCCGTAGACTCTTGCTAGGTGTATAATTTTGCTAAATCTTGAACCTGGTGCTCATCTGCAGCAAAAACTATGTCTGTATTGAACGTAGATTGGTTCTGATGACATCTTCATCTGTATTGTGAAGTATAAACGAAAAGACTAATTTATATGCCTTTCAATGTCTTCGGTGATCTCATTTGTTACTAAATACTGATATATTTTAACTACTTAATTGATTAAAGAACACTATTTATGCATGTCCAATATATTTATTTGTAATTGCTTTGTGTTGATGTGATCCGTGGGACTTAGATCAACTACTGGACTATTTGTGAAGTCATCACACAATGACTTTGGAGAACTCTACAGTGGTCTATTCAGTTTATCTAGCTAATACCTAGTTTGATTATTCCAGTTAAAATTGCATTCAGAGACTGAGTTTTGTAGTGCAAGGAATATTCAAACTACTTGACTGAACCTTACTGAGGAGAAAATTCACATCATGCCCTATCCATTCTAGAGTTAGTTCATGAACAAGTGGATAAATGAAGCCGCTGGGTGAGATCATTCGTGGCTTCAGGGTGAGATATCATCAATATGCTGATGATACCCAGTTATACATCTCCACCCCAGACCACCCCAGAGATGCCCTTTCCGTGATGTCCCATTGCCTGGAGGCTGTGTGGGCCTGGATGGGCAGAAACAGACTCAAACTCAATCCCTCCAAGACTGGGTGGCTGTGGATGCCGGCATCTCGGGTTTCAGAGACCCCATCACTTTTGATGGGTGGGGAAAAACTTGCCCCTGTTGATAGGACTCGCAACTTGGGTGTCCTCCTGGATGCTCGGCTGTCCCTAGAAGACCATCTGATGGCCGTGACCTTTCCTGGACTGAGATGACCTTCGCACTGTCACTCATGCCCTGGTTACTTCCCGCTTGGATTACTGCAATTCCTTCTACATGGACCTCCCTGAGGTGCACCCGGAGACTCCAGCTGATCCAGAATGCAGCCGCATGGGTTGTTACAGGAGCCCCTCGTTACTCCCATATAACACCTCTCCTGCATGAGCTGCACTGGTTACCAGTGGTTCTCGGGTCCACTTCAAGGTGCTGGTTCTCACCTATAAGGCCCTACATGACTTAGGTGCGGGATATTTGCAGGACCTTCTCCTGCCTGTCTCCCACCGTCCTGTTCGCTCACATAGGGCTGCTCTCCTAAGGATTCCGACGGCGAGCCAATGTCGTCTGGTGGCGCCCAGAGGTAGGGCGTTTTCTGTGGGTGCTCCCACCCTCTGGAATGAGTTGCCTACTGAGCTCCGGATGGCTCCTGATCTCCGCTCCTTCCGTCGGGACCTGAAGACTTGGCTGTTCAAGCAAATAGGCTGACACTGATTCTGGGTTTTATTATTTATTAGTTAATTTGGATTAAAATGGGATTTTGTTGTACATGTTTTTAACTTGTGTTCGCCGCCCTGAGTCCTTCTGGAGAAGGACGGCATATAAATACATGAAATAAATAAGGATCATGCAGCCAGAAGCAGAAAGACTTGGTATAGTAAAGGGAAGGTGATGTTGAACCATGTTGGCAAAGGTCCCAAATTTTGTGGCTACTATTTGTAAGACTTATAGAGTGGGCTTGCTATCTGGTTTACTTGCAAAATCTTATAAGCCTTATGTGCCTTTATTTACTTGGGTAGGGACATCTAATGGAACTGAAACTAGAAATTTATCAGTCAGGTTCAAAGTAGAATCATTATGTCTATCCTTGGCTTTCTAATTAGTGCCAGAGATCCTGAATTACAAATATGTATATGTATACCCTGTATCCTTTCCCTGCTGGCTTATAAGAAGTAGCCACTAAGATAGATAGATAGATAGATAGATAGATAGATAGATAGATAGATAGATAGATAGATAGATAGATAGATAATATATAGATAATGGATAGATAGATAGATAGATAGATAGATAGATAGATAGATAGATAGATAGATAGATGTCATCTTCCCTTACAGTTGCTCAAAATTAGGGTTATGGAATACTTTATTTACTTATTTAAGAATAATGCATTAATAGCAATAGAAACTTTCTACTCTGAGTGTGTGAATGGGCATATTGCTATTGATTACAAATATACTCTCATCTATAGCAGCTGTCCAGAAGTTGTTGGAACATGTGCAAAAATTTCTTCAAACATCAATCATCAAATTGTGATGAACACAATTCTTGTGTTCATCAAACTCAAGAATTTCTGCATATCTTCAATTATAAAGGTACCCTGACAATAAATGGGTCTACTTGTTCACACGGATACTAAACTTCATTATGAGTACTGAATTTGGCTCTATATGTATCTTTCATGAAAAGCTGATTTTTCAATTGGAGATGACACTGCTTACCTTTCTATACTGAGTTCACGGATCTAAATCAAACTATCTTGCACTGCTGAGTGATATGTTACATATTTGTCTGTAGTTGGACAGACAGATAGATATTGTACATAGACCTTTGTAAAATATTTTGCTTCAAGGTGCTTGTGATGGTTTATTTTCCCCCAGTTGTTATTAGTGTAACAAGTGTGCAATGTGCTTTATAAATGAGACGTTGTCCTTGATCCTAGGTCATGCTGGCGGAACTCAAAGGTAAAGATGAAGTATATGCTGTGAAAGTCTTAAAGAAAGATGTCATTCTTCAAGATGATGATGTGGACTGTACCATGACAGAAAAACGGATTCTGGCATTAGCACGAAAGCATCCTTATTTAACACAGCTCTACTGCTGCTTCCAGACCAAGGTAAACTATCTAGATCTATCCCGTACCTAACTGCTGACCTGGTCAAGGAGTTTGAAGTCTCCTGTGAGCTGGATGATACTCACCGCCTGGATGGTCATACAGTTAATAATTGAATTATGCCTTAACGTTTGCAGTTGTCAAAATATGTTAGGAGGAGGTGGGTTAAATGTCTGGAAAGATAAGTTATGAAATGAACATATTTTAAATGATATCTTTGAAATATATAATTAAATGCAAAGTTGCATTCTCATTTTAAGCGGAGAATTGCAGTGGAACAGAATGGTAGGTTTTGTGTATCTTGCCTGAATCTTGAGTGTTTGTCTCACATTTGATGGCAATATGGGTTGGTGGAAGACCAATTCATCCATTCCCAGGGTGGGATTGATTCCTAAGGTTCTCCCAGAGTTGTGTTTTGCTGAAGGTTGCTTTCATTTGTCTGTTTTGTGAAATTTTAAGTACAACTTCCTTTCTTTGTTGGGTTTTCCTGCACATAGATATTGAAAACTCATTTTCTAAACCATATTTGTAAAACTATTTCAGTGATTCCACAATCTACCACCTAATTCTGTACTGTAAACTCCTTTAGAAATGAATTTACTTCTAACAGATTTTAATATAAAAATAAATACATTGTATTGCAACTGAAATGCCAGAAGGTGGCACTAAAGATATAAAAAGGAGAATTCTTTGCCAGTTCTATTCTGTTTCTCTTTTTGAAATTGTTATATAACTTCATCGAAATATTGATAAGTATGGCATTCTAAGCAAATTAAACTTCTAAACTTTCAGAAAAAGCAAAGTTTGTGATTTTTATGATATGGGCTGGCAAAATGTCACTTTAAAGCCTTGGTTGGAATAGAAATGCAAACATTCCAACCTGCTTTATCTTGGATGTAAATTTGAGTGTTCTGCTTCTAGGAAATTTCAGGTGACATGGGTCTAATATTAAAGATCTGAAAACTTTTGTATTTGAAAAAATTGTGATACTTTTAAACCTGTCTGAGGTCATGCCTTTTAAAAATATATATATATTGACACAGAGAGCCACAATAGGATGGTGTCCACCAAGTGGGTGGGATTGAAATTATGCAGTTCTCCCCCCCCCCCCCCCCCCAATCTTATAATGTGTTTCAGGTTTTTATGACTGGATATGTGTTTGATGAAAATGGCTTTAACAAATTTGTTGCCATAACATTTTGCTATATTTTGGATGTGCTTGGGCAGATTAGAGGGGGATCATGAATTACCCACTATAATTTTAGGGCTGGGCAAATTTCGGGAAAGAGTATTCAGTGGTTTGATGAGGATGTGGGAGTACAAATGTGAATTTACACATTTTATTTTTATAAAGATTCATTAGAATGGGTTTTAAAAGCTTCCAGATTAAAATAATATTAGTAATATAAACAGTTAAATTGATTTTTTTCTGATTCTTATGTCTCAATGCCTGGAAAAATGATAATAGCTGCAATTTCTGGATTTCTGCTATGTCTTTCATTTTAGATTCCCTTCTAAATTTTTGGTGTGAATTTTTTTTTTTTAACTGCAGGCAAAAGAATGTCACAGGAACATGTATGGAATTGAGTGTTGTGCCGAGCATAGTGAAATTTCTGTTACTAAGCTTATTGTGGAAAGAATTCCTTAATCAGAATGCTTGAAATTTGCCTTTCAGATTTTGAAATCTACATATCTCATTTGTAGTAGATACAATAATATTCCTCAGAAAAGCATAATACGTATTAGTTTATATAGCTGCATGAGTCTTTCTGATGCTTCACATATATGAACTACAGTCTTGTAAGGCAGATCAATATTCTGCAATATCTACAGTTTTGGGGTATTGTTGTTTGGTTGCAGTGATGAAATCCAATTTTTTTTACCACCGGTTCTGTGGGCATGGCTTGGTGGGCGTGGTGTGGCTTGGTGGGCATGGCAGGAGAAGGATACTGCAAAATCCCCATTTCCTCCCAACTCTAGGGCCAGTCAGAGGTGGTATTTGCCAGTTCTCTGAACTACTCAAAATTTCCGCTACCAGTTCTCTGAACTGCTCAAAATTTCTGCTACCACTTCTCTGAACTGCTCAAAATTTCCGCTACCGGTTCTCCAGAACCTGTCAGAACCTGCTGGATTTAACCTCTGTTTGATTGCCTAGAGAAAGAATGATTGGTGTCCTGTTTGAATTGGAAGCGTTCCAAATCACAGTCCTAACTATTATAGTACACAATTAAAACCAGGGGTAGAGTAGAGTAGGGTTAGGTCTCAGACTAATAATGCTAAGGAGGTGGAGACATGCCACTTTTACTCAAGGATGGAATTGTCTTTATTCCCTTATATTTTTAATAACATTTCATAGTGCATTTGCTTTAACAATATTAATCTAGCTGCAGGTCCCAGACTGTAGAAAGTTCTTTTTTCTGTTCAAAGTTATAGAGAACAGTGGTGCTGATTTCAGCTATGTGATTAGAAGGAGGTTCCAGATGTGTGAGATGGATTAGGGGCCTTAAAATGTCCACCATGCACTAACAGTAGCTAATAAAAAATACTGCTCTTGCAGAGCAAAAATGGCAGGTTGAAGACAGCTCCACGAAAAGCTGTTGTTGTCTCTGGTAACCTTTAAAGGACTTTTGCTGACACCGGGACTGAAATGATGAGGCTTTAAGGATTTGTTTATAAATTAAGAGATGGGATATGGGAAGAAGAGATGATTTGCTGTATTTTAGGAGACATTACTAGAATTGTTTATATGTTGTGATGAAAGGGAAAGTCATTTCTTTTTATATTTTCTTTTCCTTTACTATATTTTTATTTTTCTTCCTTTTATTTTTTTTCTTTTCTGTACCTTCTATGCTTCTTTTTATTCTTTTTGAAAGTTTGTATTAGTTTTTTATTGGTACAATTGTAATTTTTAATAAAATTACTCATAAAAAATAAAAATAGGGGTCAATTCCAACATTGGTATCTGGCATTCTAGGCAAAAGCCATAGACCAAAATTTCAAGGATTAGTGCTGAAGCTTTAAACACCCTTTAATTAAAACAAACTGATGATGTTACTTGGTTTGTTTAATGAAATGAGTAAACAACCAAACTCAGAGAGCATCAAGGACCCCCCACTCCTTAAAACAAACAAACAAAAATAATAGTCTCAGCCAGTCTAGGCCAATCCTGGCTAGGAACAAAGGGAGCCAAGACACACAGCAAAACGTGCCAAAACTCTGCTTTATTCCCCACAAACAGGCCAGAGCCTCAGAATGCAATGAGTAGGAAATGTGTCCCTTGCAAAGTCAGCGCTGGGAGCGTCCACCTCCCAGCGCCCTTTAATGTCCCTGCACCCCACCCCTTGGCCATTCAGGAACCACCCCTTGGCCCACCGGGAACCACCATCCGTGGTCGGGGCTGTGCATGTTCTACCGCCATGGTAGCTACCTGGGCCGATGCCCATCCGGCTGCAATGGTCCTCCTCACTGCCCGGAACGACCCACCGGGCGGCACATAGCCGCTGTGGAAGTCTGCTGGGACAGATCAGCTGGGCAGCGTGGGTCTGGCGGGGAACACCTCAGCTGTTTGGCGCTGCCAGAAGTCAGGCCGCCAGTGCCAAGCCTCCCCCTCACTCGTTGCTCCTGTTGCTCTCGCTGCATCCCCCCCCCAGGTATGGCAAACCCCAGATCAGGACTCGACAGGTGATTCCCCCCTACCAGGGGTCCACCTGGAAGACAGGAGACAGAGGTTATCTATGTTAGACATGTTATTTTAGGTAGATATGTTAGACATGGCACTACAACATAAATCTCCCCCCCCTCCCCCGATTTGTGGGGATGCCATCGGTGGAACTGCCGCAGCAATTGTGCAGCCCTCACATTTAACTCCGCTACCCATGACGCTTCATGAGGCCTATATTAAACTGAGAGGACATTCCTGAAGATAAAGATTGTTCTAGCATAAGACACTTGCTTCAAATCAAAGTAATCTAAAAAAAAATGAAATAGGCTGGGTGTTTAGTGAATCCAAGGGAACTGCTCATAAGCACATTTGAACCCCTATTAGGGATATCATATTTACATTAGCATTTCTCTCTGCTTCCCCAAAGGCTGTGTGACCATCAGCACTTCAGTTACACCATTCATTCTGGAAGAGTGACAAGCTCCATTACTGCCCCACCCCTAATATTTATTGTATCTTTCAACAGGAATGTTAACATTTGCTTATTTTACAAATAATTTCTTAATGAGCACAGCTCTCATTCTCAGTCCAATAAGCCAATTTGTCAGGTCAAAATTCTCTGTCAGGGCAATGTGTTTTCCAGAGCTTTTCAAAATTCTCGATCTTGTGCATGAGGAACAAGAAAAAGGGACAGTTAGTTCACCACAGCAAAAAGTATATTTTATTTTGTCTTTGTGGTTTATTTTTTATTATAAATGGTATCAACAGCGAATATACTTTTATCACTTTGGCTACCATTTCACCTCTTCTAGAATGCTGCAGAGATATGGTCATCTTGGAGTATTTTGGAGAGAAGGGAAATAAACCAATTCAGCATCATCTAAGACCTCAAATAGAAAATTTAGAGAACTTTGTTCAAAATAGCTCACCTACCCCACCCCCAAAGTTCACTGAGTATCACAGACTTTCTAACAACATCTTGGTGGAAGGCAGTATTAATTTCTCTGCTAAAATTGTGAAACCTTCACATAATAATTTATTGGGCATTTTGGAAAAAAAATAAAATCATGATTTTGTAACTAAGAAAGTAAAAAAAATCCACCCAATTGAATTCTGCCACAAAATCCATTCATAGCATTGACCAGAGAAGAGAATATTTGTAGTTCAGGTTTGAACGATAGGGTCCCTGATGGTCTCTGAGATTGCTTGTTTTCTTGCAGACATTTCATTACCCAACTAAGTAACATCTTCAGTTCTAGAAGGGAGTGGAATTTTCTCTCTCTTTATATTCAGTGGTTTGCCTTGTCAATGTTGATGGGAGTGCTGTTTTCTTGTCGCTGGT